CTCTCTCTCTCTCTCTCTCTCTCTCTCTCTCTCTCTCTCTCTCTCTCTCTCCCCAGTAACATGTTTAACTACACACAGTCCCACGAAAACTTGCACACACAATCCTGTACACACCATTGGTGAAGTTAACATCAACATGATGAAAGATCAAAATTTGACGTCTGATGTGTGTTTGGAATGTAAGTCAAAGTAATCCCCCCGTATCTCCCAGGACCAGTCTCGCAGACGACGTGTGGTGAACCAGCTGAGCCGGCATCTCCCCATAGACATGTACGGAGACTGCGGGAACCTCACGCTCGGCAAATCGGAGCAGGACTCGGTACTCACCAACTATCGCTTCTTCCTGTCCTTTGAGAGCTCTCTGTGCCGTGACTACGTGACCGAGAAGTTTTGGGCGGCTCTGGGGCAGAATCAGATCCCCGGTGAGATTGACTTGTCAACGTTGCTGCTGCTGCTTCTCCTCCTCCTCCTTTTCCTTCCCCCTCATCCCTCCTCACCCTCCTCCTCCTCCTCCTTCTTGTCGTTCCCCGTCTCCCGTCTGTTCAATGTCTCTAGTAAGTTGATCTTGATCTAGCTCTGCTCCCTCCGTGTAAATGTTGTCCAGCCCCTCCCTTCAATACAGTGGAGACAATGTAGGAGGCCGGACGCGTTCTCCGGGCCTGACATTCCAGTGTGGGCTGTGACAGACAGCGAGGGACTGTGAGGGACTGTGGGGGACTTCCCTACATGCATGACAACCGAACAGGAAGACAGAGACTCTGGCTGAGATTTCTTCTGTGCTTGGGATTTGAACTTGATTCCTATACACACAGAGTAAATGTTGCAGTACCGCAGAAGCTGGTCGGTTGAAGTAAAATCCCCTACCCTTGAACTTGATGAATGTTCTCTTGGATTGCTGCTTAACTTTTTAAAACTTTTTACTGAATTTTTAAAAAGTTTCTATCGAACTTTAAAAACGTTTTTACGGGTACTTAAGTTTTTTTTTAATGTTTACTAATTTGTCAATGTTTTTATTGTTTTGGTTTTAAAAAATTAGTTTTAACTGAATTTTTAATTATTTTATTCTATTTTCAGAAGTTTTGACTGAACTGTTTAGAAATTTTGATTGAGTGGATTTTTAGTTTTCCCTTAACCTTTCCATTGTCTTTTACAGATTGGTTTTTACTCTTTCTTTTTCAAAGTTTCTGCTTTTAGTTTTCGCTATACTTTATGTTACTTTTTGTGTTTTTTAATGATTTGTTGACCCCAGAGCTAAGGCTGTTCCCTTTTTTCTTGACCGTGTGTTTGTCGACAGTTTTGTTTCTATAAGAGCTTTGCGCAGTACTCTGACACAACGCCTTTTTTCATTTTGGCGCCAAATTTTTTATTTTACTAAATGCTGCATTGTGTGCCACGTCCTATGCTACAGGTATGCGTTAACATCTTATGAAAATTTCCAGACTGTACAGACATATGTATGTTAGGCATCCATTTCTGGAGTAAAGCTTGACTTTTTGTGTTTGCAGTTTCTGTGAAAGCATGGTAAGGTGTCATCACTCTCAGTTACTACTGGTCTCAAATCTGTTCCTTCTAATTCTTGAACGATACGGAAAGTTTTCCATCTGTTGAAGTCACTAACCGAGTCCGTTTGTAAGTAGAAGCTAATGATGTGCCAGTGTTGTGTTAACGTAGCCATTCGTTCCCGGAACATTCTGTAGCGATGCACACGTCCTAGCTCATGCTCAATGTTCTACTTGGTACCAGACATGGACAAGAAAAAGGAGGGGGTGCTTGGAGGATGCATCTGGTGTGTCCTACTTCTGTCTGTCTATCTGTCTGTCCGTCTCTATCTGTCTGTCTGACTTTTTTCCTGCCCTAGATGCAGTTTATGGTGTTGATGGGTCTCTCTTAACTCAAACTCCAAGAAAAGAAAGGTGTGTGTGTGTGTGTGTGTCTGGTGGACTCAGGAGTATGTGTGTGTGTATGTGTGTGTGTGTGTGTGTGTGTGTGTGTGTGTGTGTGTGTGCATGTGTGTCTGGTGGACTCAGGAGTCTGTGTGTGTGTGTGTGTCTGG